AGGGTAAAGAGGTGATACTTTATGTGGAACTATTACCGTACATAGCAATAATAATTTCCAAAGAGATTTCTAAAACATAGCAATATTTTTCAAATCCAATATCTTATTCCCTGAAGGTATTTGCATCACAGCAGAGAATACTCTTTGGAGTTTTGTATTTTCAGCTATCCCCAGAAATATGTTCTCCCTCTCCCTCTCTCTTTCTCTCTCCCCCTCCCTCCCTCTCCCCTTTTCACTCTCTCTCTGTCTGTCTCTCTCTGTCTGTCTCTCTCTCCCTCCCTCTCTCTTTTACTTCCCTATCTCTCCTTCTCTCTCTCTCTCTTTCTCTCTCCCCCTCCCTCCCTCTCCCCTTTTCACTCTCTCTCTGTGTCTCTCTCTGTCTCTGTCTCTGTCTCCCTCCCTCTCTCTTTTACTCTTCCCTATCTCTCCTTCTCTCTCTCTCTCTTTCTCTCTCCCCCTCCCTCCCTCTCCCCTTTTCACTCTCTCTCTGTCTGTCTCTCTCTGTCTCTGTCTCTCTCTCCCTCCCTCTCTCTTTTACTCTTCCCTATCTCTCCTTCTCTCTCTCTCTCTTTCTCTCCCTCCTTCCCTTCCTTTCTTTTTCTCTCTCCCATACACCCACACACATCCACACCCTGTTAGTATGCATGTTTTTCAATTATCAGTGTTCTCAGACATTAGCTGTTTCCGGCTGACTTGAAGATCAATAGTTCCAAGCCACGGAAGTCTGATTATCTGACTAGATAGCAGTGCAATTCAGTTGCCGTCTGAAACCTAATTCCCAGATAACTCTTAACGCAGTGTGTGTGTGTGTGTGTTCAAACTTCATTTCATTGAGGACCGCAGCAGGGTTGTGTTTGATCAATGGGGTGGGGTGGGTGAGGCCAGGGTGGGCTCGATGTCACTTGTGTTGGGGGCGCCTGTGTTGGCCCAAGTGCCCTGCCAGCGAAAACAGGTTCCCAAGCTCCGTTTTCAGCTGCGACAGCCTCCTGCATCCCTCAGCCAGCAAAAAAACATGTAGCCCTCCTGGGCTCTGTTTTCACTGGTAGAGGCACCGCGGGCCGGTCCTTCGCTGTTTCCAGGGTGGCCTCGCGGGCCAGATCTAAGTACCCTGGGGGCCAGATCTGGGCCCCAGGCCTTGAGTTTGACACCCCTGCTCTAAGGCAATTCACAAGCTAATTATTTGGGTTGCATTTCAGGGTGTGAAACAGAGCTTTGAAATATAAGAACGGTCTGGAAAATAACGCAGGTATCCCTATGTAGAAGGGGCTTCCCTGAGATTATTCACATATCATGTGGTTCTGTTTTGGAGCTTTATTAATTCGGATTGATTAAATTATTCTGAGAAAAAAAGCATTTTTGACTTATATCGTAATAGAATGCATGGGATTGCATATCTGGTGTCTTGATAAAAAGGGAAGGAATTTGCAGAGGCTGAGCAGGGTTGACTGTCTCAAAGTCACCGAGCTGGCTTTGTGCTTAAAGTAGGACTAGAACTCAGGACTTCTGGGTCCTATATATCTTTACCACTACCTTATTGCTTTATTTTTTTTTGTATTTGTTGTTTTATTTACAACTATTATTGTTTTTTTAAATTAATTGGCTAAGACGCTGAGCTTGTCGATCGGAAAGGTCAGCAGTTCGAATCTCTATTACAGGTCTCCTACGTGAGCAGGGGATTGGACTAGATGACCTCCAAGGTCCCTTCCAACTCTGTTACTGTTTTTTTGTATTAATTGTATTATTATTTTATTTTTTTCACGCTTTGCAGTCCACATAGTCTTGCCAGCTATGCTGATCCGTGTGTGTGTGTGTGTGTGTGTGTGTGTGTGTGTGTGTGTGTGTGTGTGTGAGTGATGAGAACTGTAATACAAAGCAACTGTGCTGGCTGGGGATGATGGGAACTTTGCCAGCAGCCAGCTGCTCACTTCTCCCCGATCAATAATTTGCAAAGAGGTTATGTTATGTTTTGATTATATGTGAATGAAAAATGAATTAATCATATAACATATAATATATAACCTAAATATAACATATAATAACATATAATGAAGACTATATGTTAATGAAGAATATGTTAATAAATAACTATATGTTAACGTTGGGGCATGCATAAGCGCACCAGTGTGCCTTCCGTCCCTGTCCTAATGTCTCCATTGATTTGTCCCCATTTCCTGTGTTCTTATTCATGTTTATTCTTAGTCCTGTTATCTTGTACATGAGTGAGAAACTAAGTAAACAAACAAACGAACAAATAAATAAGAATAGGTTGGAGAGGATATGGAAAACACTTTTTGAGACACATTATTTATTATTTTTTTAATACAGAAATGCAATCCCTTTTGATGTAAAGAAAACACTGCAGCAAGTTTTCCATAAAGAAAGCTGAAGTTGGCATTGTAAAAAAAAAAAAAAGAGAGAGAGAGAAGAATTTGCAATGAAGGGAGGGCTCCACCGTGTCTGTTCGTCTCCTAGCCAGTAGGCGTCGCTACACCCAGAGAGCATTCACCAGCCATCTCTGCCGGCGGAATGCCGCGCAAGAAAACCAACCAAGAAAAGCCGGCTGGAGGGGGGGCGGAGCTTGGAGAAGAGGGCGGGAAGGCCCCGCCCTTTCTTTCAAGATGGAGCGCCTTGGCTCCTCCCCCTCCCGTCATGCCCCGCGGCGGCCGGAAGCGGCGGCGGCGGCGGCAGAGTGGACGGGGGGGCCGCGACGGAGTGAGCGCTGGGATCCGCACACCGGCGGCAGGTGTGAGCCGTCCGGATGGCGGAGTCCGGACCGCAGCCGCCGGGCGGCGCACCCAGCCGGCACGAGAAGAGCCTGGGGCTGCTCACCACCAAGTTCGTCTCGCTGCTGCAGGAGGCCAAGGACGGCGTGCTCGACTTGAAGCTGGTGAGCCGGGGGTCGGCTGGGGAGGTGAGGGGGGGGGTGAGGGCAGGACCCTCGCCTGGAGAAGCACAAGACACCCTCCTATCTCCCCCTCCCCGAGGAGAGGCAGCCTGCCCGCAGGTTTGCAAGTGTGTGTGTGGACTACAAAGCCCATCCGCCTGCTTGGGGGTGGGGGCTGGGGGAGAGGAGGGGGGAGGGCAGGATCCTCGCCTGGGGACGCACAAAACCCCCCAAATCTCCCCCTCCTCGGGGAGAAGCAGTCGGTCCGCAGGTTTGCAGGTGTGTGTGGACTACAAAGGCCATCCGCATGCACCCGCAGGGGTGGGGGGCTGGCAGCTCTCTCAATGCCTTCCCCGGGCAGGAGAGCTTTGGGCAGCTTCAGCTTCCAGGGAGGGGACTGTCTCCCCCCCCCCATGTGGGTCTGGTTCCCCCCCCCCCGCTGGTGGTCTTCTCTCCTTCCACCAGCTGCGAGGCGAGGACTGCAACACCCATCTGCGGCCGAGCCTGGGGAAAAGAGGCTGCCACCTGGGGTGCTAGGGGATTGCACAGCCGGGCGAGAGAGCAAAAGAGCATCCTCAGCCTGCTAGGCAGCATCCTTTGCCCTGCATGTGTGTGGCTTTCTTGTGTGTTGCACGTGTGTGCGGTCCCTGCACATGCTCCCTATTTGGTCACATTTGACACACGGCTTCTGTTTGGAACATGACTCAGTCATTTTTTGGGGGGTGCGGTTGGGGTCTTCCACCCCATCTCTCCCTCCAATGAGCTTCCTTCCTTCCTTCCTTCCTTCTGGCTTGCATCCTGTCTGTCTGTCCGTCCATCCATTTATCTTTCCTTCCCTCCCTCCCTCCCTCCTTCCTTCCTTCCTTCTGGCTTGCATCCTATATCTGTCTGTCTGTCTGTCTGTCTATCTATCTATCATCATCTATCTATCTATGTAATCTTTGTCATCTATCATCTCTATCTTATCTTTCTAATCTNTACCCAACCTATGGGCCACAGCCCACTAACAGCCCGTGGCCTATTGGCCACTGGGCCACATGATTGGCTTGTGTTAGCGTCGCTAAGTTGGTAAACTGCTGAGGAATATCACGGAAGAAGCCCTATCAACATTGAATCATGAAGACGTTGTGGGAGCTTCAATCCCTGGAAGCTTTCAAGAAGAGACTGGAATGCCCTCTGTCAGAAATGGAGTAGGGTTTCATGCTTGGGCGGAGAGTTGGACTCGATGACCTACAAGGTCCCTTCCAACTCTGCTATTCTGTTAAAACATGATGTCAATACACCTTGGATTACACACCTCAGCTCAGGCTGAGTTGTCCCTAAACCGACATTTTTAAAAGCGAGAGACGGAGGGGGATTTGTGGAACCTCGCCAAATTAAAGTAGGCTGGACTTTCTGCTCCAGTATATAAACCAGATTCCAGGTTTGACCTGGCTGCAAACCACAAAGTTTGGGAATTGAGTTCCTGCGTCGTCCCCCTCTAGGAATAAAATGAGCCTTTGGCTGCGACAGCTGCGGAAAGCGTGAAAGGAAGGAAGAGAGAGATGGACGACGTAAGTGGGTGGCTTACGTATTGGGCTGTTGCTTGGTAGAAAGGATTACATATCCCATGCTGCTGCCCCTAAAAATAAAAATACCCCCCCTCGCTTTCATTTCTTTTTTTTAAAAGAGTTTTATTATTTTTTAGTTGCAAAAATAAACATTCCATCTTTCCTTCTGCAGTGGGTCATCTGGGTACAAACATCTCTGTGCAACTTCTTTCCTCTTTTGCCACATCTTTCACCTTCATATTAACATTATTTCTCTAAGTTTCGTATTATAACATATTGAGCATTTAAACGTTATGGAACTCTCAATTCTTCTTCTTAATATCTTCTAGTAATAATATATCAACGTTAAACATCATTATTCTCATCATACACATACTAACAGTTTTCATCTTCATTTCATCTCCATCTAAGCGTATTATCTACTTATTTTTTTAGCTTTCTTCATTTCCAAACTCCTTTCCCCCCATCTCCAACCATTGGTAAAATACTTCCCAAATCATATAACATTCAGTTTGCTCTTTCTCCTTAATCCCCAGCCTTCGTTTCTCAATTGTTACCTCTGGGACGAGTGGAATTGCTCTCCTTGGCAGACATCCCCATGACTTCAATGCAGCAGGATCCCTCCGGCTCAAAGCTTAGGACTGGACGGGGCTGAGCAGAGGAAGGCGATCCAGTGAATAGCGTTTCCGTCAGTTAATACTCCTCACATCTCCTGGCGGGGGGTTGCTCTGTAACACTGAAGCCAAAACACTCAGGATGTTGGAATAGGAAGGCGGGGAAAACAGCAAATCTACCGGTCAGTTTCATTCTTTGGGAACGCAGATGAAACAGCACAAAAGAGCTCAGTGCATCAAGGCCGCTGCTGGTGTTTGACCACAGCAAGAATCCGTGCATCCTGCTTGCCACGATCCAGAGAGTTTTCTTATTCTGCTCTGCCTGTAGATGCAGTTTCTTCGGGAACATTTTGTTTTTATTTTGAAACATTCAAGTCAACTAATGCATTATTCAAGAGGCTGCATGTTGGATGATGGCAACTCTGGAGCTGAGCTAATGCATCCATAGGGGGAAAAAATTGTAAATTTCCTTCAAAGGTGCTTTTTCAAAAAAAGGCAACTGGACTGTTATTGTTTTTTCCTGAAGGAAGTAAAAGAAGATGACATTTTGCTTCTCATTCATCAGTATAGACCGGAAGTCTTAAGTGATGAGTATTTGAGTCTCTCATCTGTACCTCTATTTTGTTCTGTTCTGTGCTGTTCTGTTTTACTCTACTCTATTATCTTCTGCTCTATTCTATTCTAACTTTTAAAAAAAGTTTTTTATTAAACACAAATTAAAACATTGGACATAGTGTAACCGTCCTTTCAGTGTCTTAGCCATACATACTAGAATATAAAGTTAAATATTGTAACCACCATTCTTATTTACAATTGGTCTATTCAGTATTTACAAATATAAGGATATCGTATTTCCATCCACGTTGCTTTGTTCTTGTCTTACACATTTTCACTGTTATGATTTCATACATAATTCTAATCTCCATTCTATAAATCTTGGTCATTGCTTATTTTGAGATTTTCCTTTTTTTGTTCCATCCATCAATAAAATTTATCCCAGATCTTATAATATTCTGATTCGTCTTTGTTGTTTAATTCCCACATCAATTTATCCATTTCGGCACAAATCAGAATTTTCCTAATTACTTCCTCTTCTTGTACCTCTATTCTGTTCTGTTCTGTTCTGTTCTCTTCTACTCTACTCTACTCTACTTTAATCTACTCTCTATATTCTATTCTATATTCCATTTCATTATTCTATTCCACTTCTATTCCATTATATTCCATTCCATTCTATTCAGCTTCTTGGATAAGAAGTGAAATTTTTTCTTATTCTTCCTTCAGGAAAAAAACAGTTCCAGTTGCCTTTTTGAAAAAGCACCATTGAGACAATTATGACCTGGATGACTGAGAATCTCCATAGACATGTAAATTTTGTCACGTTTTATCAAGCCATGGGATATGTGTCCCATGTGCTTTATCACCAAGTATGCTTATTTCTTCTCAGACAGAATCATGATGTGCTCCTGAAAACCAAGTTGGTTTCCTTCTTTCCATTCTTGATAAAAATTTATTCATGTTCTTTTCTGAAAAATCCCCCAGGGATCATCAGTCACAGTAGATTCTAAACCAAAGATTTTAAAATGTCACAGCATTCGTCAATTACAAGGGTAGAGTGGTCGATGCCAAGTTTAGCCCAATGTAGAAACATCCCATATATATGCCTACTTTTTCAGGAATAAGCACATTTTCCTGGAAGCAGAGTGCTTTCCAATATATTTGTTCCCAGAATCTATATAACACTAAGGTTGCAAAAATTAACAGGGTAAAGAGGTGATACTTTATGTGGAATTATTACCGTACAAAGCAATAATAATTCCCAAAGAGATTTCTAAAACATACCAATACTTTT